CTTGCACCTCCACTCCACCCGCGTGATTAATACAGATTTTTTTTGTGCAAATTACTGATTTTTGATGCTCATTACGACTCCCGCACGCGAAGCGTAAGCAAGAGTCATATTGTTTTCGTAGTTTTTTTTTCAGTGATTTTTGGTCAACTGTACCACAAAAAAGGCTGCACCAATCAACATGAAATTTGGTAGGACTGTAGATGAGTCCGACCTGCACTGCACCAGCCAACGGTTTTACGATAGACCCCATATTTGAGGAGGGGGCTCCTTTCAAAGTGGGGGTGTCTGGACATACAAAAATGCTTATAACTCAGAAACTGTCCAACATAGAAGCTTCAGATTTCTTTTGTTGTTTAGCTCTGATGAAGCAATATTCATCAGGCCCACCAATCAGTGCCCCCCACCCCCCAGGATCCCCAATTTATCTGAAAAAGGGGTTTCTGGACATACAAAAATGGTTATAGCTCAAAAATGATCAAACATAGGAGCTTCAGATTTCTTTTGTTGTTTAGGTCTGATGAAGCTCTATCCATCAGGTCAACCAATGTAGGGGAAACCCTGCTGTTGTAGATAGATTTACAGCAGGTGAACCTTCCTGTGGTGGTTTAACCCAAAACATCCCAGCAGAATCCTTCAAAGTTTGTGAGCATAACGTGACAAAATGTGGACAAGTTCAAGAGGTAGAGCCACGTTTCACTCACCAGGTACTTTAGGTGACCAGTCTACCGCAAAACCTTCACTCATGTGTCCTGAAAAACTGAAGAGAGCTGCGGCTTCCTTCTGTTGCTGGACAAACGCAGCCATGGCAGCAGAGCTGTGAACGGCCTCCAGCTGAGGTCGGAGGTCAAAGATCTCCACCTGTCCTTTCTCAGACCACACGGCAGCCAGCGAGTTCTGTCCAAACTGGGTCACCTGGAACCAAAGGAGCCAAACTGTTACGTCGAGAAAACACTTGTTCATTTCACCATTTCTGTATTTAAAAAAAAAAAAAGGACAACGTACTCGAACTCTGTTAATGCCGCCATAGTGAGGCATCATGGCGAGCTCCAGCTTTGGTTTCTTGCCTTCATCATCATCCTCGTCGCTCTCATCGTCATCGCTGGATTCGTTCTCCTCTTTCTCCTTCTCTGTCCCGTGAAGGTTATGCATGCGCATCACCAAGAGCCTGAAGGACATTCAGGCATATTTACCAGGACAAGCGACATTAAACAACAGATCCTGTGTCCTGATTTCAGAGTTCTGATAGTTATAATCTCCACTGGAAGGAAAATTAATGGCAGGTAACTTTGTGGTTTGTGTTAGGTGGCTGTATGTGTTTTTTTTCCCTCAGTTATCATCTATATAGATGCAGAAGTGATAAAAAAGCTGCCTTTAACTGAACTGTGACACAAACAATAACAGGTAAGGCAGGTATTTTAAAAAAAATATTCAGGTTTGGATGTACCAGTACACATTGTGGAGAAATTACACAATTTTTATAATCAGATTTAACACTTGAAACATAAAACATCACTGAGAGAATGTGAGGAAACTGAAAATGAGTCTCTTTTCTGAATTTAATCTGTAGATCACTGCCCATTACCATAAGAGATGGGCAATAATGTAATTACCTGTGTTAGCTCATCTGTCTGTTAGCAAAATATCTTTCCAACTACGGCGCAAATTTTAATGAAACTTTCCAGTAATGATCACTGAATGAAAATTTACAATTGCTTAACTTCAGGGGTCAATACAATTCAAGATGGCCACAAAGCCAACTTATTTCATATGACAAAGCACAGAAACGATTAAAAATCAGTTGGTTTTACAATTATGGGAATAAAATTTGGTGTGGCAGCAGCTAACGGTCACCTCTAATACATACACCGAGTGCTAACAGGTCGCTGCAGATCTTTGTTTATAGTTGTTACGTCAAATGAGCCGAATATATGTCTTCTGTCAAGAAATGCTTTTATTTAAGCTTGTCCACCCCTAAGGTTGTTTTTGTTCTGCTCGACCCATTAACTCACCGTGGGTAAAAACCAGGACTGCACATGTGTAAAATTTCATTATGACAGACTCATAAAAGAGAGCCGTAACTACACAAATCCTTATAAATCTGGTGAAAGAATGCAGTCACATTATTGTCTGTGCGCAAACGCACGCACGCACGCACGCACGCGCGCGCGCGCGCGCGCACGCACGCACACACACACACACACACACACACACACACACACACACACACACACACACACACACACACACTAAAGATTTGGCCCTTAACAACTAAACTGATCCAAATGTTTTGATTTAGAAGCAAACATGTCATGAACTCTGCATGTGCAGATTAAAACTACAACCACTTCTTAACCTTGTGTAAACATTTGCCTTCTGTTAAACTAAACACTCAAATGCTGCACATTTTTTACATTTCTGCTTAAAAACTCAATTATAAAAGGTTTAAGTCTCTTCACAGAACAAAGCAATATCATCAACTGAGCGTACTTCCTACTCCTATTAAAAAACCTCAACTTAATTAGAGCTCACATTTTTCTCCCTTGTTGTCATTCAACTTCATTTTTGAGGACAGAAGTTAATGTGCTCACAGTATTTACTGCTGATAACGGTGGAGCTGGTTCATCTGCTTTTCTCCGCAATAACTCAACCAAAATGCTAGATGGTGTCAGGGATTCATCGTAACCGTTGACGTTCTGTGTGTGCATCGTACAGAGGAGACTGAAATGTTTTACTAGATGCTCTCTGTTTCTTTCAATCTGTAGTGCATGTAAAACAGACATAGTTGCAGTACAAAGGCACATAGGTTAGTACAAGGGGTGGGAATCTTTTACTATCTTAAGCTTTGATTTGATTCAGATTTTTTGGGGCTACAATTAGATTTAATTGTTTTTTGATTCAAAATGAATTCAAACCGATTTCTGCTTCAATTCATGGGTGTGTAAAGGATCCTCATAATCTACTCCGGTAGAACCAAAATCTTTGCCTTCAACAAAGACATGGCCGGTTCAATCTTTCTTTCTTCCATTTGTATGGCTTTGTGTTGGTGCTTTCCTTGCCTGCGTGATGACATCAGAACATCCCACGTAGTTACAAAATGGACACTGTCGGTGTCAACAGCCAGAGGATTTATTAAATTTGTTTAAATCAATTTTTGGACATTTTATATCGATTCTGAATAATTGTTAATGAGAATTGCAATTCTTACGTGAATTGATTTTTTTAGCACATCACTGATGCCCACAGAAAGAAGATTCTACCGGTACAGACCTGGGGTCGGATTTATAAAACTTGCGTACGCACAATATGAGCCCAGAAATTTGCGTATATTAATAATTAATAATATTGCATTGCACAGGTTTCTCTTTCATTTTCTTAAAAAGATCCCACACTTTTGAGCTCCGTTGCTGGGTAGCCATGATACCAGAGCCTGTCTGTATAATGTCTTG